TTTTCATGAGCTAAGAAAAACTCTGTACTCTATGAAGTTATAAGTAGCCAATATATGTCTCTTTTCCTTCTTTCAGGAGACTTATTAAGAAAATAAGTAACTTTATTTAGTTCTGTTAGCATAATCTTAACCCAGAATATGTTCCATTTAGAAATGACTGAATCATCTGTTTTACTCAAGCAACTGACATGCAATCACACATTAATATAACTTCACTTCCTATTCAGTGGTCTTGGGCATCTATCCCTTTCACTCTTTTTCAAAATTTAAGTGGGACTGGCAATTATAATAATGTGTATTGTGATATAAAGCACAATGAATTGTAAATAAGTTAAGAATAATAACAAATAAAAGAAAACAAGCGAAGGAAAAAAGCAGTCAAGTACTCTATAATAGTTTCTTCTTTCAGTCAGGGAAATAACTGCTTGTTTGCAATAGAATCTAATTGTTCTAAGACCTTTTAAGGACAATTTATATTGCAAAGTGAGAACATTGAAGTTCCGTTTAAATAATGCAGCTCTTCTGGCCTGGTGAAAATAGATAAGCTTCCGGGATTCTTCTTGTGGAAAAGATAAGCCTGATGCAAAAAGAAAAAAAAAAAAATGTACATCAGTAACAGAAAATTCAGTAGCAGGAAAACACGTAGTGCCCTGGTACTTGACATGCAAGTAACTGCCATTGATTTTTGTAGTCAATTGGGCTTCAGAGGGTCACACTGATGCATGATTAGATGAGAAATTAATGATACAGGTTTTGATGAATTCTTACTGAAATTAATGTCTTAAAACATTAAAATATTTTGATTTAATCAATCTGAAACTTAAGTTATATCAATTTAGTCCTATCCAAACTCATTAAGAATGTATGTGAGATAGTTTTATAAATACTTGGTATTTTTTGTGAAACTTTCACTTTTCGGAGTTGTAAATAGCTTATCTGGACTCTAGAAGTCATATTGCTCAGTGTTCTTGTAAATAATGAAAAAGTTATTTAGGATTACTTATCAGTTAGAATGCTTTGTGACTCAAGTGACTGAAAAATAAGAAAGTTTATTGTTTTCCAGGGATGGCATCAAGGTGGGTTGGTTGAGCAGCTTAGCCTTGGCATTAAGGATCCAAGATCTTTTGCAATAACAGCTTTGCACAAAGCCTGGTTTCATTTATGATTGTGAGATGGCTGCTGTAAGTTTTTTTGTTTTTGCCCTGTGGGGGAGGCATGGGGGAGGAAGGAGAGAGAATGGCTTCCCATGTGAATAACTGAATTAAACTGGAATTATTTAGGACAGAGGAGAGCAGAGAGAAAGAAATGGTGCTGGATGATCATCAATGTCCAACACAGAAAGTGATGTAAGTAAATGAAACCTTATTACTCTGTTTTATCAATAATTTTTGTGTGTAGCATGTTCTAGTAAAGTTGAACTCCATTG